CAGACCAAGCTTCAAAATCTAGAAACAAAGGATGCAGTCACAGCCAAACAGGAACAGACCAGATGAAGCTACTATGAGAAAAAGCAGAGAGAGCAGAACGTTAGAGATTGAACTAATAGATTCTGCAGAGTGGGAGAATAGAGATAAATGAAACAGAATGATGAAAATGGGGTCCCTTTTTGCAGAGGTAACCACACAGCTTGGGAACCGGCTGAATGGCAGAGATCCTCAGCATACTTTCCAATTTTATCTAATAGTCAACAAGGAAGTGTCTCCTGCAAAGCCCCCGATCTAAAGTAGCCAAAAGTAAAAAAAACAATCATTGTCAGTCTTGAAGGAAAGTACTGCTTTCTAAGACAGACTGAGCTCTGACATTGGTGACAAAAAAAAGTCTGAGCTTATTTTTATTCTTTTTATTAAGATCTGAGGGCCGGGAAGGACAAATGGAAAATCTTTAAAAAAAAAAGGACTTTCGTAGAGATTAGACGAATAAAACAGTTATTCTAATTGTAGAAAACGAACGGTTGTTGTTGACACGAATTTAAAAGTAGTGTAGCTTAATATGGCTAATAGACCAAGCTAAAAGAGGCTAACCTGTTAGCCACTGTGTACAGCAGCAAGTACAGTGTTGACCGTTCTGTGACGGAGTGGTCGAATAAGGCAAAAGGTGTTGATGGCAACAGACCTGATGAAGCTAATATGAGAAAAAGCAGAGAGAGCAGAACATTAGAAATAGAAGCAACAGATTCTGCAGAGTGGGAGAATAGAGATAGAATGAAGCAGAATGATGAAAAAGGGGTCCCTATGTCCTCCAGCAGTCTAAGCCTATAGCAGCATAAGTATAGGCTTATTACACTGTAATAACATTACATATATTATTACACTTATATTTAGCAACAGAAACAGATAATATCAACAGTTACTGTTGCCTTTTCTAACATAGAATGTTTTTATGGATCAGGTCTTCTATGTTAAATTTGCGTGTGTGCTTCTATCTCCTGTAACCCCAGTCGGCGTCACTAGAAGGCCGCTCACACTTAGCCTTCTTCTGCTGGTTTCTTCCTAGCAAAGCAGTTTCCTCTCCACTGTCGCTTCATGCATGTTAGGTGTAAGGGATTACCGTCAAAGACTTCATGCATGCGACTGTCTGCTGTCGCTGCATCCTCATCCAGGAGAAAAGAAATCTGCAAAGTCAGGGACTGGAAGTAATCAGCTGGATCTGCTGATGTCGGGTTCATAAATGTAGGTTTGAAAAAGAAGAACTGAAATACACAGTAATGGATACAATTTCTGCAGAAGGAGAGAAGTTGAACCCCAGACTCAAACACACTGTCTCCCACTGGACCTCCTCCGAGGAGCATTTTATTAACAGAACATGACGCATGGTTACAAACAGAGTATTGTTCTGACAGAACAACTGATCAGTTCATGAAGACAGAATGCTCCATCAGAATGAGGCAGGATGGTCTCCTGACTGAATCGTGAGACAGGAGTGGAGCAT